GCAGTGATTTTAGACCTAAACCTTTTAGATAAGGATCTAAGAATTTTTCTAACAATTTTAGACTCCATGATTCTCTCACCTAGGTTGAAACTAGAATTCACTATGTCGTTTAAGCTCGCATAGAAGGCATCAAACATCTCATCTTTTCTCATTCTATTCTCCTCAAACCTAGGTGTCAACATCTGTAACTTAGAGTTCTTAACAGCCTGAGTTCCATCATGTGTGGTCTGTAAAATATCCCAAACTTCTTTGGCTACCTCACACATAGACATTATCCTAAACTCTTCAGGGGTCACTACAAGTGAAGTGAACATATCTAAACAAGTTGAAGTTGGTGGCCAACATGAAATGGAACTATATAAATTAAGCCTAAAAGTTAATTATTCTTGAAATTAAAAGTAATTTTTACTTTGATGGTGTAGAAAGCAATAATATGTAGTTTATTGAGGAAAATAAGAGGTTCTATCCTAGTGGACTCATCTATGAAGGCAGAGTGGCCCAATACCTAGACTTGAAAGTTATTTGATTCTTCATTTACATTCTTTTCCTCTTTTGTTCGCCACCATTTATCATAATTAAGCTTATTTTTTTGTAAAAATAAAGTAATGTTTACTTATTTTTATAATTAATCAAACATGTTTGAGTTTAGGTGTATGAGATCTACAATGGACGCAAATATGGATGTCGAATTGAAAAGAGTATTACCTGATTACAATTACAAGAATTTTGTTACCTCAAGTACAATGACCAATGAGATTAAGATTTTTTATTACGTTTGGGTGTCAATAGGTTTGAATATTTGTAATTAAGAGAGATGAGCCGAGGCTCATTTTAGAGCCCACAGTGCACATTCATATAATATTGGTAGGCAATACTTGTTTTCCTTTGTATAGATTCTGCAGTTAGTTTCCCTTTAGTTAGTACTACACATACGCAAAGTATGACATATTCGTGTAGAGTTTTAGATTACATTTTTTTGTTATAAAAAAAAATTCATAATTTTGACAAGAAAATTGAGAAATGAAAGATTCGACCCTACTACACCTAGAGGGGGGTGATTAGGCGTAAATGCGGAATTATCAATCTAATTAACTAGCAACATGTCACAAATTAATTATGACTAGGTGATTAGTCAAACAATCAAATTTAGCCTATCTTTGAATACCACGGTTATATCAAAACNATTATCAATCTAATTAACTAGTAACAAGTCACAAGTTAATTATGTTTAGGTGATTAGTCATGCAAGTCAATTTAAACCTATCTTTGAATACTGCAACTTATATGACCAATAAACAATAAATAATGAAAGCAGTAAATCAACACCTATATGATGACGGAGAAACCCAACTGGGTAAAAACTCCGGGACCAAGCCACTTACCTCCATTATAGATAATATGGATTACAGTATGTTTCCAGCTAGCAAACTTCACTCTTTCCCGCTGTTGTAATTCCTGCAATCTCCAAGATCTGCTCTACTTTCCAATTTCACGATCTGATACCGTAGACACTATCTAGCCACCCTGCTAGACTTCCCGTTCTACCTC